AACCATATGATATGGTTTATCTTCACTTGGAGTGTGTTTGGCCATAAGAGGCTCGCTCCTGTATGCTTTTTACAATCATTTTGGATAGATTTGCCACATAGATAGTGTAATTTTTCAATACTCAATGTATTCATCAAAAAGAACTTGTTAAAACAAATTTCTCTACGTCACTTCTAAAAACGGTTCTTTTTCCCCACTTGTCAACCAACTTCACCACTTGAATTCTACCCGAACTTTCTAGCACCGCAAGGAAGCGTCACAATCTAAGAATAAGATACTCCTTTTTTATTTTATTTTTCTTTTCATCAAAGGTACTCTACTTTTTGTTCAAAATAAAATAGATTTAATTATAAAATTAATAGTTTTACCCAAAAATCTTCTAAATTCTCGTATTATTATTAAGGCTGTTTGTAAGATAATTCTAGAACTTATAGCTTATAAATTTATATATTAATAAAATAGATAGTAATAATATTTTCAATATGAGTTTATAGTATATTTTGTTTTCTAAACACTATTTTAAAGAGTATTTTAGTTAATAATTTATAGTTTATATTTTTTCACTTTTGTCATTATTAATATTTTAATTAAAATATATTATTATCTTTTATAGTATATTTTGATTTGAAGTACAATAATTATATATTAAATATCATTTATGTCATTTTAATTTATAAACTAATTAAATTATTAATTTTATTAAATAATTTAATTAATTTATTAATTATAAATTATTAATTATCATATAAATCATAAATTATCAATCATCAATTAATAAATATAAATTATAAGTTAACTGCTAATTTATGAATTAACTATTATTTTTATCTAAGAGAGCAAATTAAAATAGTGGTATTTTTTTCCCCAACAAGTCCTAATATAAAGGACAAAAGTAAATATTATTAGATTGGGCGCCATTCCTCAAATTTGAAATGTAATATTTATAATTTTATGTATTTTTTTTTTTTTTTTTGCGATTAGTCAGTCAGTCCACCATTTTACATATATTAAAAAAAAAATTTTTTTTTTACTATAATATCTATAATTATATTTAGAAATGATGAAAATTTAATTAATAAAAAATAAAATTAAAAAAAAATATTAAAAATTAAAATAAGTCATTTATTTTAAAATATTATTTTATTTCAAAAGACTCATTCATTATAAGATGAAAGAATAATTATTATCATTTTGTATTCAGACAAAAAAACATTTTAAAATTAGCCTTTAACCATCGTCCTATGATTTTCTTTTATAAAATAATATCATAAATTATTTGATGATATAATTATTTAATTCATATTCCAAACAAAAAAAATTAAAGAAGATAAATCAAAATTGATATGATAGAGAGAAATTGTACATTTAACTCTAAAATAATTTAGAATGTTATTATATAATTTATATTTTCATAAAATATTACCAAAACGAATATAAGAAACATAAAGTAGAAGCTTCATAAGCACCCCCACAAGAAAACAGAAACCAACAGGTCCTGCCTGCGCCCTTTAAGGTTTGTAAAATCAAAGCCGCCCCTATTGCTTTTCTTCTTTCTTTCGTCTACAAATATCATTTTCTTCCTCACATTTTCTTCAAACCCTCTTTTCCCTATTCCATTTTCATTTTCATAACATCAACACCAACAAAAACTAACTCTCTTCTACCAAAAACAAAACCATCTTTTTTTTAAGGTTCAATCTCTTAAGGTATAAATTTAACGTTCACCGTTTCAACCTCTTCAAGATTTCGTCTTTTTTCACATTGCGATCTGGGTTTTGTTCTTTTTTGTTTTTAATCAACTGGGTCTTGTTCTTTTCATACCTTGATCAAACATCTCCTAAAAATTTCACTTTTTTATGTTTTTTTTTTTTCAATTGAGATTTTGCTTTCTAATGCTAGTTTTGGATATATTGTTAGGTCCCTTAATATTTGTTATGGTATTCATTTTTTTTTTTCCTATATGGTTTTAGGTCAGGGTTTAAACCAGGATTATATACACAAATTTCTATATGGTAAGCATATATAATTAATCCCTTTCAATTGAGAATTCTAAAAATGTGGATCATTGTGAATTTGTTATCATGTGTATGATTTGATTTTTCTATGGTTTTGAATTGTGATCATTAGGGAGAAGCACCAGCATTCCTTGTTGATGATGACCTTCAACATGGGCCTCTTAATGGCCTTGAATTAACAAATGAAACTTGCAAAACAACTACAGTTGTCGGCGACAAAACGGTAAGATTATACTAGATCATCTTTTGTTATGTATGTATGTTGTTGTTTATTGATTAGGTTATAGTTAGTTAGAAAATTTATGCCTAAAACAAAAACTGGGCCTCCATGTGTTTGACAGTATGTCACTGTTGGAGCTGATGATGGAACTTTGTCCATTGACGTTCAAATTTTTGACCCTAGTCTTGGAGAATGGTCAGTTTGAAGTTTCTTAGCTTCGTAGATGTTTTTGTAAGGCTTTTTGTTGCTGATAATTGTTTTGGATTGTGCAGGGTTTATCCAACTGTGCTAGGAACTAAACCCTTGTCATGCAAAGGCCACTCGACTGTGGTTTTTGAGAAGCGGATTCTTGTTCTTAAGAAGGGCTCTAAACCAGATGATCAAATATGGTTCCTAGAGGTGAGTAGTTGAAGGGACATAATTGAATGTAATTACATGTGGTGGTGTTGTTTTTAACATGCCTTTGATCAGAAGTGTTTGGTGCTATGGAAAAATGCTAACTGTTTGTAATGATTACCAGGTGGACACTGAATATGTTAGGCAGCAGAGGAAAAAATTGGGGACAGAGGTTGTTGCATGGAGTAAGGGTGTGATTGGCAATGCGGAGAAACCTATTGTTATTAGTGGTCCTTCTGGAGTCGGTAAAGGAACGCTGATATCAATGCTCATGAAAGAATTCCCATCGATGTTTGGTTTTTCTGTGAGCCACACCACTCGTGCTCCACGAGATATGGAGAAAAATGGTGTCCATTACCATTTTACTGAGAAGAGTGTGATGGAGAAAGAGATTAAAAATGGAAAGTTTCTCGAGTTTGCTTCTGTCCATGGTAATTTGTATGGGACCAGCGTTGAAGCTGTTGAAGTTGTGGCAGATGCAGGAAAAGTAAGTTCCTTCTACTTTACTATTCTTTGAATTCATCTAATTGATAGATTTTTATACAAACATCTATATCATCTAGAATGCAAGGATTGTCTTAACATCTTGAGTAGTTATTGTTGAATCATGTGGGTTATAAAGCTTTGTTAGAGGCCTGCAAAAATTTGCATTACATTTGATTAAATCGCAATGGTATGATTAGATCTCAATGGAATGATTATAATACTTGCAGAGATGTATTCTCGATATCGATGTTCAAGGAGCAAGATCAGTGAAGGCTAGTTCTCTTGAAGCCATATTCATCTTTATCTGCCCCCCATCAATGGAAGAGCTTGAGAAGCGCCTTCGTGACAGGTGAGTAGTGGCTGCTTTAGTAATGCATATTTAATTTTCATTCGGTCCAAATTTAGGCTTAACTTAATGCTTTGAAACCAGGGGGACTGAGACAGAGGAACAGATCCTTAAGCGACTGCGTAATGCCTCGGCTGAAATCGAACAAGGGAAGTCTTCCAATATATTTGATTTCATCTTATACAATGACAATCTTGAGGAGTCTTATGAGAGACTTAAGGTAACCCCTGCTAAATACAAAACTTCCCGAGTCTTTAAATAGTTTTATCATCTTCCTAATATAAGTATATCCATTGTTGCAGAAATTATTGGGACTTAACGGTTTTGTCACTTCTCAACCGAAATCAGGTAAGAGTTTTTTAAACCACTAAAGCCAAGACGATCCTCAAGATATATTATATTGACATGTATATAATCTGTTAATCTAGCTGCATCGAGAGAGATTAATCTACCAATGGATCATTCTGTGTCGAAACTCGATGACAAAATCATCATAAACTGCATCTCTTCTGGACCAGATAAGGAGTCAAAGAATTTGTAAGTCTTCTAAACATATTACTTTGAAGAATCACCAATTTATTCCATAAAATTGTAAGCACTGGACCATCTGGAGTAGTCCTATAATGTTTCATTTAAACATGACAGGATCATGTTAGATGTTTCCTCACTAAAAGGAGGTGCACCTGGAAGGACAAGAGGGCTTGATTTTCATGTGATAGGCTCTATGGATCAACTTAGCTAACAGTCTATGAACGTTAACCACTACTAACTTGGTTTTCTCCATTCATAATTGTCACTTTGAGAAATCGCAGCAGACAAGGCATTAGATTTATGAGTTGAAGCATTTTTTTTCCCTTCTTACCGGCGTTCTTTGATTGTTTATGGCAATTGAATTGATTTGAGTAGTGTTGGCAATGACACATTTATTATTATTATTATTTTTATTATTCCCTACATGGGCAATGAAATGATTATGATATTTGTTGTCTCCTAGTATGCTTTGTGAAAACTCCCGAGGTGCGTATGTGCAGTACACTTTGTCTGGCACGATCTGGTGCTTTTAAGTTATTTTTTTGATACATTATAATAGTGTACAAAATGGTGAGAATAGGACAAAATGCAAAGGCTGTTGAAAGCAGTTTTCATTGGGAAAAAAGTCTTGTCACATTGACTGGTTTTGGCATTAATATAACATAAGGGAGTTTCTTTGGTCAATTAAATGTAGTTGGGTTGATGATGTTGCAATTAAAAGTTAGGCCCTCAATCTCACTCAAATCTAGCGAGATAAATGAAGGCATGCACGTTCCGTTTAGATCTGTGTCCCGCAAAATCTACTAAAATATGAGGGCGGGTCTGTAGACACTCCATCGCTTAATGGAGCGGAGCAAAACAAGGATACGGCCAGTCTTAAAGCTTAATATTGGAGCAAAACGGGCATGGTGGGTGGGTGGGGTCCGTTTTCCACCCATTTTCAACTTATTAATCAAAATCGTATGCTTTTTGGTTTAGTCTATCACGCCATGTAGGGTATAGAAGCATGCTATTCCAACTTGCTCTTCACCACTTGCAACTGCAAGGTCTATATTTTTCCACATTTAATATATTATGCCGAATTTTGTTTATTAATTCAAAATTAAAACGTAAAGAGACATAAAATTAGAGAATACCACTTCTACATGTACTCGTTTGTTGTGAAATATTATTGGTTGGTTACGGTTATAGTGGGAAATAATTTAGGGGCAATTGTGTGGTGTAGGTTTGACCGAACGTAGAAAAGGGGGAATGAATGAAGAAAGCAAGGTTGTGCAAGTTGCCATTTCACAAGCGAACTTTATTGTGTTTGTAGGGACCATCGTGAAAGTGTTTCCTCTTTTCCACGGGACCAAGTTGGGGGGCACACACCCACTGTTTGTCCTTCTCTGTTTACACCAACAACTATGCTACGTTTTATTGGTCAGCAACTCACGTGCTTCTGTTAACACGCTGCCATGTAGCCAGTTGGTATTCAATTCTATCAAGCTCTACACGTTATGAGTTATGATGAGATGAGAAGAGTGAATTGGTTTGAAATACTTGCAAGATACAATTGGATAAGACTCTCAAGTTAAGCTACCTACATGACCAAAGTTGGCACGTTAGCAAAGTATAAAGGGAATTAATTTCTTAACCTACTCCCATCATTTTCTACCATGCGAAAATATATAAATACTTTTGAAAATTGAAAATATATTTTCAAGATGCATTAAAATGTAATAAAAAAAAATATTTTCCAGAGTTATATTTTCGATTCCGAATCGATATTATATTTTTCAATTTTGTTTTGTTTTTAGAATATGGTAGAATCACTTTTAGTCTCGTAGTATATAGTGTATGTTGCATATCAAAAATATAAACATGTTACTATTTTTCTAGTTTTAAAATGTATGACGTGTCATGCATCAATAATATGATACCCAAACTAAATTAAAAATACTAAAAATTCATTAAAAAAACTGGGGATGAGATTGTATGACGAAATAATTGATGTGTTGAAATATGAGAGATTAAGGGATATTTGAATAAACGGTATGTTTTTAAAAGTACTACAGAGACTTTATCATATATAGAGAGATTATAACTAATTATATGATATAGTCAATACGGATATATATATATATATATATATATATATATATATATATATATATATATATATATATATATATATATATATATATATATATATATATATATATATATATATATATATATATATATATATATATATATATATATATATATATATATATATATATATTTTTTTAACAATATTATATTTATAAATATCAACATTCTCCTTTAAGCTTGAGCATATAAGTCAAATGCATCAAATTTGCCATCACATATATAATTAGTTCTGGAATCACTCAAATTTTATAAACACATCTACCAATTAATCATTAGAGTTGATAAAATTTGTGTGCGTCGCATGATTTAATCTTCTCTTTGATAAGTTTATCTTAATATGTTTGGTTCGTTTATGGAAGACTGAATTTGAAGCAATATGCAATGCAACTTGATTATTACAAACAAGTAATATTGATCTTGCTTCTTCAATTTGAAGTTTTTTGAGCAATTATTTTAACCAAATGAGTTCACATGTTGCCTTCCCATGGCCGTATACTCTGTCTCAATAGTTGATCTTACAACTACGTTTTGTTTTTTTTTTACTTTTTCAGGATATAAGGTTTCCTCCAACAAGTACACAATATCAAGAGGTGGATCGTCTATTAATGGGTGATCCTGCCCAATCAATCGGAGTATCAAACTATCTGAGTGTGTCTTTTATCTTCATGTACTAGACCATTTTCTTGAGCACATTTGATGTATCTCAAAATTTGGATAACAACATCCATGTGTTCCTAACAAGGGGAATTTAAGAACTAAAAGAAATTTTGGACGACTGACTGTGAGATAACTCAACTTTTTAACCAATATCCTATACCTTCCTGAGTCAGATAGAGGCTCTCCCTAATTGTGTAGTAGTTTGACATTTGGATCCATAAGAGTATCAAATGGTTTAGCATTCAACAAATCCGTTTCTTCCAAAATATCTATAGCATATTTTCGCTGAGAAATCACCAAACCATCTTTAGATTGGACCACCTCAATACTCAAGAAATAACAGAGTTTACCAAGATCTTTTGTCTAATATTGATTTGAGAGATATTGTTTCAACTGAAGTTCTCTGTTAGTCACTACTAGTTATGATAATAATATCTACATACACAATAAGATATATACACCCTTGAGCTGAGTGACGATAAAAAATAGAATGATCAGCTTCGCTACATACCATACTAAATTATTGTACTACAGTGCTGAATCTGATAGACCAAGCTCTCAGAGATTTCTTAAGATCATAAAGAGACATGTGTAGCTTACACACCATATTTGATGACTCCCCCTGAGGAATAAACCTTGCTCTTCAAGATCACCATGTAAAAAATGCACTTTTGATATCAAGTTGATGAAGAGGCCAATGCCAAATGGCTAGAAGAAGTCTAACAGGTGCCATCTTGGTTACAGGCGATAAAGTATCACTATAATCCAACCCAAAAATATGAGTGTATCATTTGGCTATCAAGAGAGCTTTAAATCGATCAATCTTACCATCTAGATCAACCTTCACTGTATAAATCCAATGATAACCTACTAAATATTTCCCAAGGAGTAGAGGAACCAGTTTCCAGGTACCACTTCTTTGAAGAGCACACGTTTCATCAATCATTACTTTCCTCCACTCAGGGTGAGATAATGCTTCACCTGGAGTTTTAAGGGTAGAAACATAAGACTAAGAAGAAAAACAAGTATACTTCAAAGGAGAAAGAATGATGATAACATAAATATATAATGTGGAGAAAGATTTCGTGTTTGACATATACCTTTTCAAAGGGTAATCGAAAGATCATACTCTGGTTGCAGGATCAGATCTGATGATGGCGAGAGCGTCTAAAGAGAGTCTGTAATTACCTCAGGGACAAGTATGACCTTAGGGACAAGTACGACAGGTGTTGGTTGACGGTGCTGATATGTTTAAAGTGGGCGAGAAGTAGGGGAGTCAACGATAGGGGTAACCAGTGGGCCAGGTTCCCTAGGATGATGGGAGACAATGACATATGAGACTTCTGGAAGAGGTGTGCTAGTACTTTTCTGAAGGGTTTCGGAGTTACTTGCACTATAATAAATAACACTTTTTATGATAAAGCTTTCACCATGCACAAAAAAAAAACTGCAGGTACATGTAATGGGAGCGTCTTGTTTTATTTATTTATTTAAAATTAACCCGTTCCCTCGGTTTTAAATAAACCGACATAGATATATGTTCAGGGTTTGAGATTTGATTCTCAGCTCCTACAATTTAATGTTTCATATGAATCCAAAATGCAACTTTATTTTTTATAGATTTACGTCGGACATCCTACCTCGATTTTCAGTAAAACTGAGATAAAAACTCCCTAATTTTTTATTTTTTATTTTGCAACCAAAAAGGCGCATTTATTTTTTATAGATTTTACGTCGTATATGTTACCTCGGTTTTCAGTATAACCGCGATAAATAGTCTTTATATTTTTTATATCTCAGTGTCTACCTCATTCACTTTTCAAACCCTAGCGAAAGAACACTTCTTCTTCATCCAACGAAAGAACTCTATCACCATTATTCTCCAAGGAGCCATAGCGAACAAAAAACAATCTCTCATCATTATTCTCTGGTAATATTATTATTGTTGTTCTCCATTACTATTGTTGTTGCTGTTGAGATGCTTTATTTTTTTTGGTTGTGTACTATTTTTATTTTATCTTCAGAATCTTTATGTGATTATAGATCGTAGTTGAATGAAAGTCAATATATAGATTAAGTAAAGAGTATGAGAATAGATTGGTTCAATTTCTTGATTTCGCGGAAAAAAACCTTCCTGACAATAACAATATTTTTTGGTGTCCTTGTTTAAAATGTTATAATACGAAGAAGAAAAACACCCAAGGAATGCAATATTCAATCATTGTGGTTGTGATGGATTTATTCAAAATTACCCAAAATGGGTATGACACGGTGAAAGGACAAAAAAGAGACCTCTGTCACCTACAATTGAAGATAAAGATGATGAATTTATGACTGATAATCTAGAAGACATCATCCGTGATATTGGAGTAGATGCTTTCAAGAAAGATAATATGGTTGATACTTTGCGAAGAGACTTGGAAGATTTGTTGTATCAGGGATGTAAAAGTCTTACAAGTCAGTTGTGTTAAGACTATTTAATATTAATGCAAAAGGTGGGTGGATGGATAAAAGTTTAACTGAATTGCTTGAATTATTGAAAGAAATGCTTCCCAGAGGTAACACGTTGTCGAACCGTACTTATGAGGCCAAGAAGATATTATGCCCAATGGGTCTGGACTATGTCAAAATGCATGCATGTCGTAATGATTGCATCTTATATAGGAACGAGTTTGAAAACTTGAAGGTGTGCCTGATGTGTGGAGAGTCACGCTACAAGAAGAAGGACAATGATGGTGCAACTAGAAAGGGTGTTGAAGACGATAATGGTGCAACTAGCAATGATATTCCTGCCAAGGTTATGTGGTACCTATCGATAATTCCAAGGTTTGAGAGATTGTTTACTAATGTTAGTGACACAAAGAATACTAAATTGCATGTAGATGAAAGAGTGTGTGATGGAAAAATTTGCCATGTAGTTGATTCAGTGCAATGGAAGAAAATTGATTCCTTGTTTCTAGATTTTTCCCTTAAACCGATGAACCTTAGGCTTGGACTTACCACTAAAGGAATGGACCCTTTTGGTAATTTGAGTACTAACCATATGTCATGGCCTATTCTTCTCGTAATTAAAAACCCATCTCTTTGGTTGTGCATAAAGCGCAAGTATATGATGCTATCAACGATGATTTTGGGTCCAAGACAACCAGGAAATGACATAGATGCTTATTTAACACCATTGATTGAAGATTTAAGACTTTTGTGGGAGTAAGGTTTTGACGTTGATGATACATACACAAGTGATAACTTTAAGTTGTGTGCCATATTATTTTGCATAATCAATGAATTTTTGCATACAATAATTTGTCTGGGTATAACGTCAAGGATCATAAAGCATGTCCTATATGTGAAGTTGATACATGTCACCACTAATTAAAAAAAGGAAAATACAATTTATCTTGGGCATAAAAAATTTCTAAGACCTAATCATCCATATCGAAGATTACAAAAGGCTTTTAATAGAGAGCAGGAGTTTGGTACCACTCTAAAGCTCTTAACCGAGAAGAAAGTTTATAGAAGACAACAACATATTAATGTTGTCTTTGGAAAGAACAAAAAAATCCAGTGGAGAAAAATTCTTAGAAAAAGAGGTTGGCATTCTTTGATCTTCTATACTGGTCTAGTCTTGATGTAAGACATTATCTTGATGTGATACATGTGGAGAAAAATGTATGTGGTTGTTTGATTGAAACACTTCTCAACATTAAAGG